TTTTTCGTGAAAAAGTACTTGTAGACGGAGCACTCCGTACTCCATAGCTGTGTATGACTTAGTGTATTTGTGTATCTGCGTATTTTTGTCCTTGTGGTATAGCTTAGACTTATAGCTTTAGCCTCAGAGAGCATGGAGTAGTAGAAGACAAGTTCAAAGTGATTGGCCGGCCAAAGCCGGGGTAAAACCTAGGGTCCTAATTTTCTCCCCACATTCCTCTGGACATCTTCAACTTCTCTTTTCTTCCCCCTTTTCACCCCCCCCCCCCCTACTCTCAACAGCGTTGGGCGATTTTTTTTGAATTTTTGTTCGTTTGACTCCCCTTTCTCCGTCATCCATACCTTGGATTCGGGCTTCGTCGGGAAACGAGACGATGACGCCTCCGCACACACGCCATCTGAGCCGGCCCAAGATTACGATTTTACAATTAAATCTGAAGACGTCACTCATCTGAAATTTATCGTGTTAAACTTGGCGCTGTTGAACCGGACTCTCCGGACTGTCCGCTGGGACAGTCCACCGCCAGCTTTGTCATGGAGGGTCGTCAACAAGCTACGCTGGGTGTTTCGATCACCTTTTTCTCAATCGCCACTATATTTGTCACCCTTCGCTTCATTTCACGAATCTTTGTGGTCAGGAAAGTTGGGTTACACGATTGGTTGATGTTGGTCGCATGGGTAGGATACCTCGACTTGATCCCTGCATGTACCCGGGGATGTAGCGAGAGCGGACTCGATCTGTTGGCGAACCGGGCACATGATGGGAACCTCGTGCTAGAGCTCGGAGGCTAATCAGTCTACAGATGATCGATTTTGGCTTTTCCTTCTCGCTCTTCTTTGCTGTCCAGAAAGGTCTTGGCCTCCACTCGAGTGACATTAAGCCTGATGATCAGCTCGCTTTTAACAAGGCTAATTATGTATTCACGGTCCTTTATGTGAGTTACAACTGCCCTTTGTTACTCCCCTTTGTTACTCCGCAGGACAAGAATTAAAAGCAATGGCATGCTGACAAGCACGAAGAATCCGGCACTAATGGCCGTCAAGACCTCGATCCTTGTCTTCTTCCTAACCTTGACGCGCAATCAGAAAGTTTTCCGATGCGCAAACTATGTCACTCTCTTTGTAGTGAACGCAGCGGGCTTTGCATTAACAATGGTCAATGTTTTCCAATGTCGGCCTATCGGTGCAATATTCGTTTCCGACGTACCGGCCAATGCGAATTGCACCGACATTGTCACCTTGTATCTCTCTTCGTCCCCGGTGAATATTATCACGGATCTCACTATCCTGTTGCTCCCGATGCCGCTTTTGACCCAAATGCGCCTGCCTTTCAAGCAAAAGATCATCTTGGTGATCACTTTCTCATTTGGTTTCTTTGTGGCCGTGGTCGATGTGGTCCGAATTGCCTTTCTTCAGCAGGCTGCCATCTCTCGTTCGTTGGAAGTCAAGTCAATTCACATTCAAAATGTCGGAGGAGTCGATTTCAGTTGTACGACTCTCTCACCTCCTGTCGTTCAATACAAATTGTCAATCGAGCTGACAGTAAGAATTTTGCAGGGTACGCGTCGCTATCTTTCATGTGGTCCGTCGTCGAAGTCAACCTGTCGATAATTTGCGGTTGTGTTCCAAGTCTCAAACCTCTCGTCACTCGTCTTGTCCCGAAATTGATTCGAGATACAAGTGATGATGCGTCAACTTCTTTGCCTCGTGAAATCTCTGCGGGCGTAGCAGGGGAAAGTCGGGTTGCAGTGCCGCCTCCGGCCGCAGTTTCGGATTCGCCAGAACTCCCATCGCCATTGTCATTGCCACCTACCAACGAGGGAAACAAAGATCTACAGGACCAAGTTGGTGGAGTCTCTGTTGGTCGACCTAGCTCTCGGGACTCGGGGCCCATGGGTATATTGGATTTCCTGGGTCACCCAGAAACTGCACCCCTCGACACAGAGGGGGGAACCCACACTAGCGCATCTTATGCGCCGGATATCACATTTTTTGATTTTGTTAACATGAAGAATCCAGAAAGCATGTTAAAGCTAAACAACAGAGAGTCGATTGCGCCAATTGCATTGACTACGCTTTTATTCTTCCTCTGGGGTTTCGCATACGGCTTACTTGATGTTCTGAATTCCCAATTCAAAACAATCGTCCATTTGGGTCCATGGCATTCTTTGGGTCTTCACGGCGCGTACTTCGGCGGATACGTGATTGGTCCTCTGCTGGTTGGCCAACCCGTCTTGAAAATTTGGGGCTTCAAGTCCACTTTCATAACTGGTCTCTGCATCTATGCCTGTGGGACGCTCATCTTTTGGCCGTCTGCCGTTCTAACGTCGACGCCTGCCTTTATTTTGTCAAACTTCATTGTCGGGTTTGGTCTAGCTGTTCTAGAGACTGCGGCGAATCCATTCATTGCGCTATGCGGACCACTTGAAAATTCCGAGATCAGACTCAATATTTCACAGGGTGTTCAAGCTGTTGGAAGCGTCTTATCGCCGCTCCTAGCGAAAAGGGTCCTCTTCAAGAATGTTCAGGATGTCGCATCTTTGGTTGACGTACAATGGACATATCTTGGAATTGCCCTATTCGATGTGCTGTTGGCAGTGGCGTTCTATTATCTGCCAATCCCAGAAGCTTCAGATGAGGATTTGGAAGAACTAGCAAATCGGCGCCGGGAAGACAACATGACCAAAGTAATCGGCATCCCTGTTGTTTGGCTGACTCTCGGGCTGGGAATCTGGTCTCAGTTCTTCTACGTGGCTGGACAAGAAGTTCTCGCGACAGCTCTCCAACGTTTCGTTATTGCCGCTCGTCCAGATTCATCAATCGGTCCGTTCGATTTCCTGACCATTGGACACAGCATTTTTGCCTTGGGTCGCTTCTTGGCCGCGTTTGCGCAGTGGTTCCTCAAACCACGCTGGATTCTGATGGTCAGCTACATCGGCATGATTGTCTGCTCCATTCTCTGCATGAAAACAAGCGGCACGGCAGCAATCGTCATGGCAATGCTGCTCTTCCTCTTCGAGAGCGGCGCATTCAGCATTATCTTCGCCATTTCCCTTCGCGGCACAGCCCAACACACGAAAACAGCTGCTGTCTTGATGACGATGGCCATCGGCGGCGGCACCTGTTTCCCGTTTGCCGAGTATGCGGCATACCTCGCACACGGCGCATCATATTCCTTCTGCGTTCTAGTCGCGCTCTTCTGCGCTGGCGCCATCTTCCCCATCTACCTCAACCTCGTACCCGCTGTGAAAAAGCAAGTTGACCCTGTTCCGAACGAGTATCTCCGCCGACATCACCGCCGAACTCGGAACCCGGTCGACGCTATGCATCGCGAAAAAGATAATCCTGCCCTTGGCGGTGTTCTTTCACGTCCGCGCAGTCTGGCATCTAATCCAGACCACCTCCCGGATCTTCTACTGCCGGAGGAGATTCAGCAAAACTCCCTTGCTCAAGATCTTCCGAGAGCTAAATCTAGCCCTAGCTCTAGCTCACGTGTCAATTCGAACTCCTCTCGCAATTCTGACTCGAAGCAGAGATTCTCCACGAGTATCAATGATTCATGACCGATACTCAGCAAGCTTGATTGCTATCCTCGCCTCTCTCCTTTTCCCTCCACACGTCACCACACTTACGAACCCCTTAGATACCCCTTTTGCTTTCCTTTTTTTTTGATTTTTGAACAAACTTTTTGCCACTTCTCTTCTCTGTGTATATTCTGGGTGGCATAAATCTTGTCATGTTTATTTTGTGGCATTTTAGCGATGGTGTTTTTTTTTACCAAAAGCTCCTCGGGCTCCTTCTCCTCTTAATTTCTGGCCTCATTCCCTAGTGGTATTCGACCAATCCCGTGAACCAACTTTGCTTCTGACCGGCACCGATTATTCTAAAAGGTAATCTCGATCTGGTTTATTCTCGGCTAACAGGGTGCTGTTATTCATATCTACCCTGTCCGCCGGGGTTTCGATCATCACAACGTTTCATTTGTATTGTCGTATCGACCCGTTTGGGCACTCTATTCAAAAAATCTACCCAGGACAGTAGGAAGGACGGGAGGAAGGACTTGATTGTCCGGCAATGCACATAGCTTTCAAAAGAAGTAACCACACATCTTTGATAATTGAGCTAACTTCCGAAACAAATCATTGTAGGACCATTCCCAATTTGGCTGCTTTAGCCTTCTAGATGCTGGAAATACTTATCCTTATATGATCACTTCTGTAACCTGGTATGATCTAGACATGTTGACCATAGATTCTTGCGTCCCTGACCACCTTCCGTTTTCCCAATAAGGGAAATCCTCCAACTTCTATATTTAGTACCAGACTCTAGAAAATGGATCAACCTAACGAGATCTTTTCTTCTTTTTTCCTTTTACTCTCTAAACTGGATATTTTGGCTGAAACGCACTCTTTTCTTGAAAGAACTGGCAGGTAACTGTCTCCCTTCCAAATACCAAGATACGTCTAGTACTAACTTGCAGTAGTGATTTTTCAATTTAAATCTACCTCGCATTTCAAATTTATTACACGGGACTCACTGGACAGCTACTCCCCCTTTTTGAACTAGCATTGATACCTCGAAATGCAAACAAAATGTGATCCACCACCATTTGTCGTCGGGAGCGGGCTGTGGGACGCAACCCCGCATAGTGGCATATATGTGATAGCTAGATCGGGTTGATGAGATCATCATCATCAGACGTACATAATTAGTGATGAAATCTTGATTAAAGAAGGCTCGTCAGATGGGCGATCAAACACGAGTTTGGGGGTGTTAGGGCACTGTTTACCACTAGCTACCGGCCTACCGGCCGATTAGTCGATGTTGAAGACTTGCTAGTAGGGTTAACCTGACCATCTGATAGCTAGGAATAGTGGAATTTAAAAATTCCATCTCTAACTCGTAATCCTGACCTTCTAATTGAAACTTACTAGAAACCACAGGTCAAAACTCACCTGACAACCCGAAGACCCCCTTTGTTCATTCTTGCTGGTTTTTACTACCGCGTAGACCGACAAGCAGTTAGGTACGCAAATATTTGGCTATGCCAGATCGAGAAAATGCAAAGCTTCGAATAATCGAACAGAAACGCTTGCGATCGATGCAATCGATCGATTGGAATGCTCGACCAGTGTCTATGAAATATCATGAAAAGTCGGTGGCACCAAATTTTGTGACACAAGACAATTCTATTACTGGCCAGAATAAGCCTCGGTGGATTAAACAAAGATTTGAAGCTCGGAAAAAGCAGATCGGAGCAACGATAGCCAAAGGGTCGCTTAGGCATCTTCAGCACGTGCAAGGAAAGGGCCCCACATCCCAGTCCAACCCTAATTCGTTGGTGGAAAGATATACAGATTTATAGAACTCCAAGTACATTTTTTTCGTATGATGTCCACCGTCAAGGCGATCCGTATATCTTCCAGTGTACAACACACTGTTTATTGTCATATATTGCAACGTTGTGCGGGAAATTTTCCTAAATTAGCTTTTTTTTAAAGTAGGAGTCCTTATTGACAGGTGACCAGACGATTTCGAAGAAAGAAATCATGAGACCCAGTAGATCTATAATTGCGTGTCTAAGGGCATCTGTGCATACCAATGGATTTGAAAGTACATGCAGAATTTCTTGTTTGGGGGATCTCTTGTAGAAGATGATATCATAACCAGATCCGGTATGCCACTGTTTGATCCATGCAGCACATAAGGGGACACTGAGTACCCAGGAAAGTATTTAAAGCGCGGTAATCCAGCCGCTGAGTTAAAGAACCAACATCTTCCTCCTGAGATAGCCAGTTGACCTTGATCTCATCAATTCAAAATTTTGAGAATGACTTTTTTCGTACATCGCTGCATAGAAGATGAAAAAACCCCATTGCTTCTCTCAGCATGTGATCCTGCCATACTTGGTGAAGCCCTATCTAACCCAGACGACCAAAAGGCTGTTCTTCTGTGTGCTTGGGTTGTGCTATTGCGAGACTACTATGCACCGAATTCTCCCACGTTTGTTCATATTGAGCCTCAAGGAAATGAAACGTTGAAAGGAAGCACGAGGAGCTTTCACGATAGTTTCCATTGTCAACATCTGTCGGTCCAAATCGATTCCAATGCTACAACCTACGAATTGAAGAAAAAAGTGACCCAGGCCGTCGAGGACGGAGATTGGGCAGGTTTAACTGCATATCAAGACAAAGCAGCCATCCTGCTATTGTCAAAAGAGCAGATTAAAGTACCGGCCCGGCTTTTTGAGTTGCTCGAGGCATGAAATTCTTCCCCCGGTTTTGAGCAGACTTAATCTGACAAAATTTAATCGCTTAGGTCGAATTGCTCTTAGTTGTATCCGGATCAAAGAAATGTTTGGTATACATCAATAGGTCCAAGAGACCCGAGTTCAATCCATGTGCCATATTGAAGAGCCTCAAGGAGATCTACAGTACAATGGTTAAAGATCCGATCCTGAAGGTCACTGAGATCCGCACAATGACTTCTTTTGATGTGGAAATGTTACAGAGAATCAATGGTGACAAAGAACTTCTTGCCAACGGGAGTGGAAAGTGCCTTCATATGCTCATCAACGAAAATTATTTCCGACGGGCTGGAGCCGTTGCATTGGCATCCAGCTCAGAAAGCGTCACGTATGCAGACCTTGGCAAAAGATCAGCAGCGATAGCTCATTTCTTGACGAGCAAGGGCATCAAGGCTGGAGATACAGTGGGACTCTGCATGAACAGATCAGTCCTTGCAATCATTGGCATTATTGGAATTCTCCGAGCCGGAGCTGCATATGCACCAATGGATCCATCTTACCCTTTCGGAAGAGTTTCCCAGGTTGTGGAGAGAGCCGATATCCAATTTGTGGTGACAGAAGACAAGTTATGCCATAAGTTTCGGGATCTGAACGCAACTTTGATCGCCGCAAGCCAGCTCGAAGAGGCCGATATCCCTCAAAATTGGCTGGAAGAAAAAAACAACAAAAGCTCAGATCCAGTGTATTTCATGTTTACGTCAGGTAGCACCGGTCGTCCGAAGGGTGTTATCCATGGCCACGGGGCAGTGTCCCTCAGCCTTCTCGGATGCATCAAAGCGCTTTGCATCAACACCTCTACAAGGTTCATGCAATCAGCGAGCTTCGCATTTGATGCCAGCATACTGGAGATCTTTGCCCCACTAGCTGCTGGTGGATGTCTATGCATGGTGTCACAAGAGGAGCGAAACAACGATCTTGAGTCGGCGATGGAAAACTTGAGAGTGTCCCACGCATGGCTCACTCCATCAATGGTACAGCAAATCCAACCACAGAATCTG